GTTTAATCAGTATTCTGTGGCCTACAATCTGCCTGATTAATAAAAGTTTTGGTTATTTTTTAGGAGTTTTGAAAAACTGGTTTACTAGAAATCAGGTCTCTGAAGACCTATCGGCCAAAATGATTGTTATATTCGGAATCAGCGCCCTTGATTACCTCTCACCCGCTAGGTTTTAGCCCGAAAGCGATCTGTAACCTGAGGAGGTTCCGTCGTGCGTCTAATAGTAAAAAGAAAACTTCAAAAGTCTTTTGGCATCTTGGTTTGCGGTGGTTCACAAGTTATGACTTTCTCATTTTGACGATAAACTGACTACTATCCGTTCCAAAATACAATGCTGTTGGTTACTTTTTGAATAACTTTTCATAGAAGCTAAAAATTTCCGAAGTGGGTTTTTCAGGGGATCTTTGAAAGACTAGCTTGATACCCAAGATCCGTGGTTTTTATGGTAAATTTGCCCCTGTTTGAGAGTTTAGCTGTGATAAATCCTAAATGTAAATGTTTGGTTAGAAATAATACGTTTCATCCATGTTCTGTAACTTCCACTAGTATGTTAAACTTCTACTTCAGTTTAGAATTAATTAACTAATTTTTCTTTTAAGACTAGACGTCTCAGTATTGGGAGTTCCACTTTTTAGCACCTTCAGGTGCTACCCTGCCAAGGTTTTTTTCATGGACTGATAGCCCAGGGTGTTCGTTTCAAAATGGGAGTAAAGTGAGACGTTGATTTTCTGCGGTTCGAGCGTTCTATCGGATTTCCGACTAGTCACAAGACTGGCATGCGGTGACTCTTGATCCTAAAGACGGATAGACTACAGATAATCAACTATCCTGAGTCTCGTAGCAATATTTGTTTTTAGAAAAACTTTTAAAAATCTAGCAGAAAGCCACTTTCACGAAAACTAGGGTTTCCAGGCTTCACCTAATATTAAAAAATTCACTATTCACTCAAAAAATACCAGAATACAAGCTCAAAACCTCAGGATAATATTAATATTGCCCACTAAACGTGGTTATAAGATAAAAAAAATCGAAAAACACATTTTTGTTAATAAATTTTCCAGAACCCCTTTTGGAAAACCTTAGCTTTTTTAAAATTCATTTCGAGATCATCTATACACAGGATATAGAATACCTTAAATACTCTACATTCTAAGGTTTTGTGCTTGATCTGATGTGTTTTGAGCGAATAGTGAATTTTTTAATATTAGGTGAAGCCTGGAAACCCTAGTTTTCGTGAAAGTGGCTTTCTACTAGATTTTTAAAAGTTTTCTAAAAACAAATTGCCACGAAACTCAGAATAGTCGATTATCTTTAGTCTATCCGTCTTTAGGACAAAGAGTCACCGCATGCCAGTCTTGTGACTAGTCGGAAATCTGATAGAACGCCCGAACCGCAGAAAATCAACGTCTCACTTTACTCCCATTTTGAAACGAACACCCTGGGCTATCAGTCCATGAAAAAAATCAATACATTCCTATGTGAATTTCGAAAAACCCAAGCTAGTTTACCAAAGATCCCCTGAAAAACCCACTTCGGAAATTTTTCCAAAATTCGCCTTTGCTTACAGAAACTTGTGGTCAGATGTCTAGTTTTCAAAGGTGAAAACCGCAGGTTTCTGTCTAGCTTCTATCAAAAGTTATTCAAAAAGTAATCAACGGTATTATATTTTGGAACCGATAGTAGTTCGAAAAATTGATTTTTCTCTTGAAATTGTCACTCTAAGCTCAACATCAACATATGCATTCTTTCGTCATTTTCTATCCAACGATCTATGAGTCAGCTCTTGGAAATGTGTTTCTCTCGTGACAAGTTTACCACCACCGGTGCGCATTATAAATTTCATAATTTTTGCCACTCTCCTTCCCTATTCTATGACTTACTAAGAAAAGCAGAGTTGTAGCATTTAATGCACCAGCACTAATGTGGCTAGCTGCAGCGGACGCTTATTTCTTCATGCTTGGGATGACTCAGTTTACGTATGCTAAGACACCATCATCCGACGGCTTCCCTGGTAACTCTTGTCGGCATAGATCTGGGTTCACTGAACGAAGTTGGCGACCTTATCACGCTTCGGTTGCCTCTCAATACAAGTCTGGTTTGCTCAAATGGCGAGCCAGATGCACATTGTGTTTTCTATTACTATTAATAGCGCGCTGAATGTCATGGAGCTTAACTGTTAGATTCAAAAATTTATCGCAAGTATCGGCGTGACGATGATAGCTGGATTCTTTACAGTCTTTGTCCGAGTTATTGGTCAGTGCATCTGCAATACAGTGATCAGCACTGTTGATGATTGTTTCACATGAACTTTGTAATCTAACTTGAGATACCGACGAGCTCGTTTTAGATTATGAATCAAACATCGGCGCTCTGAATATTCATATCTAGTTCATCTGTCAGGTTGAAAATATTGTCGAATGCCTGGCTGGCGTTTGCGGCGAATCAGTTCTGAGTCGAATGGTGTTTACCAATTGAAAAAATAATGTATTATTCTACAGTTTTAACTCGAAGTCTGCTTTCCAAGCATCCTGATTTCTAACAATTTTTCTGTTGGTGGAAATTTAGGAAAGCTTCCTTCAGGATGAAAATGTGGTTTTTTTATTAGATTTGAGATTTTCAGTATGAACGAAGTGTTTCCAAACATTGTGCCTAACGGAAAAGATATTAGAAACTGAATTTTCTGTATTATTGTCTCTAGGTTCAACTCTGAAAAGTACTTTCTTCATGGTGAGTTATGCTAATTACGTTACACTAATTAAACTGTTTAAGTTCAAGGTCCTATTTCATCAGAACAGAACGAAAAATCTACATTTTAGTTGCGTGTTCCTGTGATGCAGTGGCACACGGAGAAGATTATTAATCTCTACATACAGAGTTTTTATTTTTTTCTTTCATTCATTTTTGTTATTCTGCATATATATATATTAGCTGCAACTGAAGCGGGTGAGCGGGTTTGTCCCGCTGCAGATAGCTAACCCGTTGAATTTTACTCTTTTAGCTGGTTGCAGTCAATGGAGAAATGGGCGCTTCTTCAGTAAGAGCAGCTAGCTTATTCCTTATGAAAATTTCACGCTTGGCGTGAAATGGCTTTCAGAGAAATTCCGAGAAGCTCAAGCGAATTTCTTTGGAAAATGTGATCTAAGCTGGCACATCTCAGTCATGCTAGAGAGAAACAAAACTGAACGAAATTAGAGTAGCGACGATATTGAAAGGGCTCACAGCAATAATGATAGTGATGATGCTGAAGCGAAACAGCCAACAAAACTTCAGCGAAAAATATTCGTACGTATTTCTGCAAATCATACAAGTTTTTGAAAAAAAATTGGCGAATAATAGTGGTTCTAGTGGTACTCATTACAGTTCTGGGGTTCAGTGTAAAATAGCTCATTTGGTAGAGAATTGATCGCTCTACAAACTGCATGGAAACTGTTCTAGTATAAGACGATTTGGCTGCACGATAGGTATTTTACTGGAAAAAAACGAAGTTTTTAAATCCGATAAATCTATTATTTTCACTTTCTTTTATGCGGTTTTTCGTAAAAAATCTGTAACTCACTCATTTTTAGGTTCTAAGGTCTAAAAGCTCCGAGTTATAGATAACTTTGAATGCGATAGAGTAGGTTGGGGTAATTCAGGACAGCCTTTCTAATTTTCACAGTATTTTTGAGCATACCTGAAGCATTTTTACTCGGGAAAAGACGCCATTTCGCAGGTGGATAGACCGAACATTTCTCTATCTACTAATGTAAAAATCTTGTTAAAGTTTAATAAGATTAATTAATACTCATCAATTTCCGGAGAGTTCCTATCAAATGTCCCGAATTACCCAATTTGGGGTAATTCGGGGCTGTCAGTGTGTCTCGCTGGGGTAATTCGAGACAGTACAATTGTGCCGTTTAGCAGACTATCAAAATCGATTTCTATAAGACAGCAGAAGTTGTTTTCTGTCTATTCCGTGCGATTTTCACGTACTGTCCGGAATTACCCCATGCGAAATAGCTGAGTGTTCATAATTACCCCAAAGAAGAAAAGTAAAAAAAACGACTATGTTCGTTCATTTTGGTAAGTTGTAATTGATTAATCAAGGATATGTCCAAAGGACTAGCAATTTACAAGGTAGATAGAACCCAAAATTCCCTACAAGATGGCGTAGTTCTTAATTAGAAAGGTAAAACTTTGCCGTTGAAAAAAAGTTGTTTTACTTTCTTCCAGCCATTTTTGCTGGACTGTCCCGAATTACCCCAGTGAGACACTGACTGTCCCGAATTACCCCAGCGAGACACACTGACTGCCCCGAATTACCCCAAATCGGGTAATTCGGGACGTTTGATGGGAGCTCTTTGGAAATTGATGAGTACTAATTAATCTTATTGAACTTTAACAAGATTTTTACATTAGTAGATAGAGAAATGTTCGGTCTATCCACCTGCGAAATAGCGTTTTTTTCCGAGTAAAAATGCTTCAGGTATGCTCAAAATAGTGATGTTCGATCGCGTTACGTGGTACTGCCATCAAAGTACCGACAAAATTGAAAGAGAAAAATTTGATTTCTTTTCAGCTGCCGATTTATTCCAGTTGCAACAAAAACGATCTTTCTTGCAAGCTGCACTGCAGCTATGCAATGGTTTGCCCAGTCATATACCTTGTCCTTGTAACCGAACGCGAATGGTTAGTATTGGATAACATGTCAACAACGATGTAGATGAACTGATTGCGGCGCAAGTAGAAACAATAAAAGCTGAAGGTTCTCGATTATCATTGGTTGTTTTGTAAAATTGTTTTAATGACTGAGAAAAATTACAAAAGACTATACTGTTTGGTGCATTAGAACACTTACGTACCTCATACAGTCCAAAATTAATACCAGAGGCTGGCATTATGTAGAAAAGTGACAATGGGTAACCACGTCCAAAAGCACGTAGACCTTCGTTGCGATAAATCTTTTTAACAGCATCAAAAATACCTGTAAATTCACCGGAACGTCTCAGTATCAAACGAATTCGAAGAACCTTATTTCAATAATAATGTAAAACAAATCACAAGCCAATTCCAATTTACAAATCACTTACATCAAGAGGATAAGTACTCGTGATGCCAATAATACCTGCCGCACTTCCGGCTAAATATCGTTCTATGCCTTTTAAGTCTGATTTTTCATCTTTGCCATGGATTCTGTTCAATAATATTTTAATCTATTAAACAAATTACAGAAGTGCGACTGCAGACATTCTTCTTCGTTAACAATTACTTGTTCGAATGCAGTAAATTTTCCAACATAATCTGGCATACATTTTAGAATTGACATTCCTAGGACAATTATTTAGTTAAGGATCAAACAAAACTCAGTTTCTCATCACTATTTACCATTTCCTCGCCACAAAGATTCCATACCACCTTCTTTGATTAAATACTTGTATCCATCGATCAAACCAATTTGTTCTTGTGAACCTAGATACTAAAATAATAGCCATTGTTCGATAATGTTTGAAAGATCGAGATACTTGATGTTACCAACTGAAATGAGGTTTTTGCACTCAAGATCAATATAGACTATCACACCTTCAAAGATACTCTGAAGATACTTCTATGCATGAGTTGTAAGGGATTACTTATCCAAAGTATTTTAAATTAAATAGGATAAAAGTATGCTATATTTTTCAGAAAACCATAAGCTAAAACGTATTTTTTGTGAAACAAAATACCTGCATAACTGTTTTCATTCGGTCAAATGGTGCTGTTAAGGTTTTTGCAAAAGCGCCGGCTATGCCCGTGGCAACAAACATTGGAAACCATGCGTCGTCTATATTTTTTTCAAAGTGAACAAAGTATAGATTTAAGCAAACTAATTTGTTACGGTGTTTTACTTGGTATGTATGGTGGAATGAATAATGAATCATCAACAACAACGTTCATAACGTGCTAGATACAACGAAAAAAAATGAGAATTTCAGACATCTGTTGCAGTTGGAGAAAAAAATCCTGTTTCATACCGTCACTGATCTCCAGTGTCCAAGCATCTCTTGAGCATCGTCACTAATATCCAGAACATACAGATTCATTAAAAAATACGAACGCCATTCATCCCATGAAATTTCCAGTGAACCGTCGCTATCGATTCTAAAAAGCAAAGAAAAACCTTTGATAGTTTAAAGGAATAGAATGGATCTTGTTTTCTGTTTTTTTCTGAATAACTTCAGAATGAAAGCACCAGAGATCTCGAGTTTTATCCGTTTGATAACTTAACTTTCGCTCGGCCAGACTATCAAAAACAAGTACATATAGCTTTGGTTCTACTTTTTTGAGTACTTCAGGCTACCTACCCACAGGATCTTTTTTCTCCATTTATAGCGTTATAAGGCTATATACATCACTGACTTGAGACTTAGAACATAAACTCCCACAGCACACCTGTTACCACTGTCAGGTATAGCGTTACAACGCTTGAAGTTAATGCATTGTAATGCAATAAATTTATGTCGTTGAAACGTGTGAAATCTTATATTTGCATTTGAAATTTTGCGCTCATGGTCCAATTTTTCATAGGTCTTGAAAATCGGCTTCTACACAACATTTCTTTTTCAGAAAAATTCAACTGAGCATCAACTGAGCATCGACTATCGAATAGTAAAAACTGCATGCCGTTCGCTTGCGCATCTTTGAGCTTTTTTTTAAAATAGCGGTAGCCAAACTATTCTATTCGATTTGCTTGTTAATTAACTGCTTGGCTTCTTCTGGACCAACGGCAATACCGTGATTTTTAAAATACCTAATCAACTCTTTGGCATCAAATGAACCTGAATGGAAAGAGAAAAAAAGTGATTTATCTCTTTATTAGGGTGAACAACGAAACTTACCGCTTTGATCAGAGTCGATGTGCTTGAATAATAGTCGAAGTTTATTCTGTTGCGGTTCTAGGACGTACTTAGAAAATTGTTTGAATGTTATTCGATTCTCGCTACCACTTTCTTTCAATATACGCTGAATATAGAAACGGATTACAGTTACACTTATCAAGCCGTTGTAAGTGATGACTTGTACGAATTCCAAAATCCAAAAGAATACAATAACTAACTACTATACGAAATTCGGTCTCGGAACTTTGAAGCTATGAAGATTGCGACTTTAGAGGAGTGTTAGTAGAGGATAACAGTAGAAAAAATTCATTTCTGATGTAATATTAACTCACTTAATACAATAGTGACAATTTGAGACTGAGGTTCTGGAGTCAAATAATAATGTTGTTTTAGACAAGAGAGCAAGAATATTTCTGATAAATAATTGTTATTTTCTTCACCTTTACTCACTGTCTCATACTTCCGAAGCATAAGCCTTTCGTGTCTCTGATACTCATAAAACTTGTGAGTTCGAAGAACGTAAAACGATATAAAAAAATTCTAGAACCTGTAGCAACGTTCTGAACCTGTAGATTATGCTGTGGAATCCCATAATCTTCTTTAACCCTTTCGGGACTGGTGACGTTTTAAAACGTCATTGAAATTTCATGTGATCTGACGCGTCAGAATTCGAATTTTATTCGCGTCTCTTTGAACTATACATTGCGTCTGCTTTTTTTACACTTTCGTGCTTCATCAGTTTCATTCTAGATATGGCTAGAGGGTTAGATGAATCTGGAAAAAATAAATCATTTTTGAAAAGTTGAAAAATTTGTAATTTTTGCTCAAAATAAGTTGGCTCTGAAAGGATAAGTTGGTCCTGAAAGGGTTAAGTGACTAATGGGGTTTTGTAGAGGAAATAAAGCTGCATTCAACCATAGGATTAACCATCGCGGAAAGTTAAAGCGCATCATATATTTCAAAAACACTATACAGTGATCCTCTCCTCTGTGGACAAGTATCGGGCCTTTCGAAATTCTTCCATTTCTACTAGGACAATTTCAATAAAAGGCTATACCAATTGTGGAAACCTATGCAGAAAAATGCGCTCTTTCACGGTGGCTATGTCAAAAGAATTTCGGATCGGCGACAGATTTGCCGTTCTATCCGGCGGTGTTCTCTTCTTTTTCGAAAAAATAATCCGGTCCCAAAAGGGTTAAGAGATTACATTTTTTTAAAGTTTCTATGCTGAATGCTTTAAGTAGTGGACTTCTGAAGTGAACGTTTTTTATAAAATTTCTCAACTAAAGCAGTAAGGAATATAGATGAGTGGTACGGTGCAACATTGAATGCTTAGCTATCCAATTAAGATCAATCGATTTGTAGCCGTTTTATCTATGCCGTGTCTCCTCTTGATTAGAAGCATGAATGTAAAACAATCAACTCACTTACTCGTGCAATTTCCATTCGTTTTTCTTGTGTTTTAACTCCAATTCGTCCAAGAGCCTGAATGAGCTCTTCAACACCAATTTCATAATCTTGATTTTTATCGACTAATTTGAATAACTCATGTAATTTAATTTCGTCTTCGCCACCATTCTTAGCTGTTTTTATCTTTCTCGTTCCATCAGACATTTGCGGTTTATTTTTGTGAAAATTTACAGTTATTTCAACAGTGACAGGTGCTTTTTACTGTAAACATGGAAATAAATGCAAAAAAAATCATTTACGTGTAACAAAATCGCAGAAAAAAAAGAAAAGAGCTCGATGAAATTGATTTTTCTATCGAAATTGTATGTTTGCCTATGTGTTGCTCTTCGTTAGATTCTAAAGGTAAACAGAACTACACAAAGAATACACAGAGAATAGCACAAGCACATAAATGTTCTGTGTAAAACAGGGCAAACAACTAATGATGCTAAATTCCATTAATCCAAGGTTTTGAACAACTTTGTTTAAGAATGATATAAAAATAACTAACCCGAAATGCAATGCGAAATAGTTAAAGCTATCCATGATTATGTGCCCAATACTCTTCGAACTGATCTGTTCGTAATAGATCATAACGTAGTATTCCTAATAATAAAATTGATGACGAAAATGTTGACTAAATGGTCACTAATAGACGAGCAAACTTACATTTTCGTTCTAAATTTTCCATGTTTTCATACTGAAAGACCTTTGTGGAATTTTATCCAAGGAAAAGCTCAAAATTACACTGGTGCAAAGGTAATTCAACGTGCTCTACAATTTGGCAGTGCCAAAATATGTACAGCTGGAAGTTCATAGCGGGTCTTTTGATACCCTTATTTCAGAGATTTTCCCCAGAAAGGCCTATCAGCAGAAATGGTTATCAGATTGGTTTGAGCTTTAATCTCGAATCAGAACGAAATCGAGAATATGATTTCCCATTATATCATTCTGAAACTTAAACTATCAAAACACAAAATCAATCCTTGCACGAAGTTAGGATCGAACACTCTATATCAGATACGTGATCAGCATCAAAAATTACCCACGATCGTGTATGTGTTACGAAAAACAAATTGGACGCTTGAGGGGGTCCCCTCGTGAGATTATGTGCGAATTAAACGCTTTTCCACAAACACAAAATCACATATTTTCGTCCGCTCATATATGTGGAAAAGTTATAATGACCCAACGGATATCATTGGCAGATTCACATTCACTTCTTTAGTTTTTACTTACTACATTAGATGGAAGTTTTGAATGCAAGAAAGTATCAATCAGACTTTGTTTTCCTATGTTAGAAACCAAGTTCAGTTATTTTTTATAAAAAACAAGCAGTCTAGATTCCAGTGAGACTTTTGTGGAAGCTAGTTCCGATGAGTTTGTGAAGAAGCCGACTTGTTTAATACACACGTGTCTCGATAAACAGTCTTTTGACGACAAATAAGTTAGTAGAGCACTAATTGTTCACTTCTTTATTGTTGCTTTTTTAGTGGACTCTTACCGTCCTGCTTTAAGTTGCTTTCTAGCGGAACTGATCTCTGTCACAAGTTTGAGAAACAGGGAGCTGTGCAGAACTAAAGATTAGCACAAATTATTTTTCATGAAAAGTGACTTGTGTAAGTTAGTTATGACAGTTTTTTGATGAAACAGAATCAACTTGCTTAATGTATTACTTGATGGGTTAGCACTAGAAGCTAATAAAAATAGTCACTACTTTTCTAATAAATTCGCTATAACCGTATCGGTTCGTAGATTACTGTTAATGGTTTCAGAGTATTTATGTGTGTCATGAAAGAGGAAAGTTTTTTAAAATTCCATTGTGAATTAGACTTGATTTTCCAATCCATGCGAAATCGTGACCTTTTGGACCGTGTATTTGGATACCGGTAAACAAAGCATAGCGGCGTTTATTATGATGTTTTGAATCTTGAATAACATGATTCTCCAACTCAATTGTTATAGCTAAATATGCAGCATTTGTCACATCCCACAGAGTTGAATTTGTCGATAACGTTGGAACCGCTTTTAATATCTGTTTTTTCAGCATGCTCATTTCAAGATCATCTTCATCGATCTGAACTGGTGAAAGAAGACCCTTCTTTAACTCAGTGTTGAACGCGACTAGAGCACCGCAAGCAGTTGATTCTTCTTTCATAGCTGTCTTACTTCTTAACACTGACCCAACTTGACCTTTGCTGTTGATTCCTATGTGGGTGAAACAATAATAAATGAGATTGGCACCATCGGCCGGTACATGATGATGCGCAGCGGCGAAACCTGTTCTCCCACAAAGCAGCATTCCACCCAACGAACCACATGAGAAACTTGCACCGTATATCGACTCGATAACACTTTTGAACGGACTTGTTATTTCATCACGACACAGACTAAGAAGACACATTGTATTCACATTGGGAAGAAAACCATATGGTATCAACAGTTCTTTCGTTTTAAATACAAAGTCTTCAATTGACATGGCATATGGATAATTGATCTCAAGCGCCTGTTTAAATGCTGTCTGTTCAGGACTATTTTCGTCTACTTTTCCACCGCATTGGGAACACAAGACCGATGCTTTTTTACTATGCTGTGAACTCTTCTTATGTAATGATTCTCTTTTTGGAGAACTTCGATGACGATCATCATAACAGTCTCTCGACGACATTTTATTAATTGTTGTCAACTTTTTCCACCTGTATGTGAATGTGTGCGATTTGTTGAAAAATGTACCGATGATGATTGCGTTTTACCTACTCAAACTGATCTTTTATAGCAATAAATACGTGTGAAATAGTTGAATACATACCTTTGGACACTAATTACACATTGACAAGACATTTAACATGCCATTTGCACCTGTACAAGGACAGAGAAGAAGATGACCGCTCGATTCGAAGCAAAGGAAAAGAAGGCAGATTTATCAGCTGATATAGGTTAGCATACGAGAAGTCACAGTCATTTATTCACTTATACTATTTGAATGGTCTCTATTCTCATATTGAAGGTAAAGAAAAAGCACTAAAAAGCCTAACGTCATCTGAGGACAAATGAATTAGAACTAATCAGTATTAAAAGGTATGGATTGGGGAAGATCCTAAACTGTTGCATGATAGTTCTAGATACATCGTGTCTACTCTTTTATGCGAGTGTTCTTCAAAGAGTAAGAGAGTATAACAAAATTACGATCTCACCTTGAACATAGTATAGAAAGACTACTCACAATTCACATCTTATATATTGTCTGTAAAGAATAACCAAGACAAGAATCTTTGCACATCATCTAAGAATTTATTTTAAATTATATATTGTCTAGGTTTCATTGTTCTATATGATTTTTGAAAATGAGGTATGTCACTGAAATGATTTTTGATTATCATCCAATCTCCCTCCCTCTTAGTAGTGCACACTAGATCTGGTCATGTTAGATAATCATGTGAATTGTTCTGTTTTTGACGATATAACCACGTGAGCTAATCTGTTTTGAGTAAGTTTTAGTCAGTTCGATGACGCAGTTTTATGTCATATCAATTAGCAAGACAAAAGCTTTTCTTTCTTTGCTGAAATAAATTACGACCGTTTCGAATATAAAAGCTACAATAGTTCTAATATACCTGGTGTTCAAAGATATTTACGATATTTTTTATTTTGCATACATCCCAGTAAAGAAAAATAATTGAATCTTCAATTTTTTTTAAAAAGATGCGCAATTCAATTCTCTGTAAACTTCTATTTAACTTATTTAAAATAACAGAATTGGACATTTTTATAGGCCACATAGTGTGATGATATGAATCGCATCTACTTTCCACACATTTTTTTACTAATTTACTTTTTCTGTATAAACGAATATTTTATTTTTAAAAACATAACTCACTGCTAGACAGCTGTTGAAAGCCTCTGTCGATTGTGCATAAAGACGAAGTTTTATAACGCTGTCCAGAAGGTCGTTTTTGTTGTTGCAGCTCAGACAGGTCATTGTTATTAGGCACAAGTAGATTGTGATCAAGCACTTACAAGTAATTCTGAAAGAGTATTTGATATTTTAAATTGAGATAAATAGAAGTTTGTAGAGAACTGAATTACACACGTTTTAATAAAAAACTTTTAAGATTTCATTATTTTTCTGTACTGAGATATATGTAAAATAAAAAATGTCGCAAACATTTTAGAACACCCGGTATAATGAATTGTTGCCAATAGAGAATTTCTGCTAAATTCAAGAATATTATTACAACGTCACTACTTTCGAATCGATGTTCTCCCTATATATTAGCATCCTCATTTACAAATGCTTTTGTTTTAAATTTTAGGTTATTCAACCGTGCATTGAGTTATGATTATAATATAGAACCAGTCAAACATATTCAGCAACCTATTGTTCTCTAAGAACATATTTTATACCTGTCATACTTACATAATCACTAAGTTATATTGATACGGCATGTATAGATCGTTATATGTTAATTCTTTGGTCACGAGGCCCGTATATGCACGTTTTTGAGGTTTTGCTTAGATTATGGCTGTATCTTCCCCCTTGGTCCGGCCATAAGAGTGCTCTTTCTGTCTCACATGTTGCCGGTATCACAGCGTCATCATGTATCACTAGAATGTATGTATACATTTTCCTTCTCTTCCTTAGCGGCTCTTTTTTGAAAGAATCAAATTTTTTGTCATTTTTCCAAAAAAGAAACGTAACCAAACGGTTAAGAATATTCAATAATAGAAAATAGCTAGTTTGGTAATAATAATAATCGCATAATTCTGGTATTTATTATCAAGATATATATTTATAGTTTATTATGGTACACAAGTTAATTTTACATTTTGTATCCCAACAGCAACTTAGGGAACATTTCAAAATTCTTTACTCTCTTACTTCCTGCTTTACTCCTTTTCTTCTTTACTACTTTTTAAACAAAGTCTTTTGTTAGAAAGCAAAATAGTAAAAGAAGGAAAGGAGTAAAGTAGGAAGTAAGTGAGTAAATAATTTTGAAATGCTCCTTTATTATAGGATTAAAAGTATTCAGGATACGTATTTGTTTGTTTCGGTTCACTAATTCCATTATTAATGATCGTATTTGATCTTTTAACACTAAATAACATTAGAAACAGTCGATGGCGAGTTATGCATCTGGAATAAAGATGTGCACGGATACAGTTTTCGTACTCGCCCCGAAAATTTTTTTCCACCCGTACACAGTGTGCATTTTTTGCATAGCAGGCGGTCATGTAACTTTCGTGCTCAAAAAACGGGTTTCTTTTGCTCAAAAGTGGCTGTATATCACTTCAAAAAACACCTTTAAGAAAAAAAAGCATTTTTTGAAAAAAGCTTTTTCGACGAAAAACACCTGAGGGGACATATATACTAATATTATCACATATTATATGAAGGTAGAAAAGAAAAGGAAAAGCACACTTACGTACGTACCGTCACCTACATTTTTTCGAGAAAATGTTTTTATTAGATAATATATTGTGTCATACATCATCCGATGCAGTTTCACACGCTGATTCCGAATATGCCATTAGTTTTCAATGGAAATGCTTTGGTGTCTGAAAAAGAGTAATCGAGCGTGAAAATCAAGGCTTTTAGGACATTTTTCGAAAACCTACCATTCGGTCCAGAAGCGTCGACGCTAATTGGCGCTAACTGTGTTGACATGTCATATATAAGACAGCATTATCTGAAAAGTTCATCAAAATTGGAGCTTCGCTAAAGTTCGCGCACGCATTGCATCAAACACATCTCCTGGGAAAATGCGCTAGAAAAATGTTTTATTTTTTTCTCCAACTTAGAAAGTCCAAAAATAGAAACGTTTTCTACCAATCGATAGCGCACTTGATGCTGATTTCGAATATATGTTTGTTCGCCCAATAGCTATGTTTGATTTTTTAAAATTTTTGCATATAATCCGATTTTCCGATGGACACGGGTTTTTTTAGTGTGTTTTTGTGTATAGAATTTTCTCAGCTTAAATAAGTCATAGGACATCAAATTTTTGCCGTTAAATAGAGCATGTTTCAAAGTATATTAATCATCCTTAAAATTACTGAACCCGACCTGAGAACGTTGTACCTGTACTCGATCCGTACCCGACTTATGCCTAAAAAGTTTCTTTTTTCTGTTTTCCAGCTAAAAACTTTTGTTTTTCGATTCAAGATGTGAAATTATCATTACGTTCTCAAGTAATTCTTTTTTAAACCATCATGTATTTTAGCTAAACTCCTGTATTTTTTCACTAAAATTGTGTAAGATTTCCACTAGAACCTTCCGGTTTTCGGGTAAATTAAAAAGAAATAGAACCCGTACCCGTAACTGATCTACCCATACCCGACAACTTCGTACCCGTACCAAACCCTTGGGTTCTACATCTCTAATCTGGAAAAACAAGAATAATGATCGAATTGTTAACAGTTAACAGGTTTGTTCAAAAAAACACAATAAAGAATTATTAACAATGCTTATAATTCAAGTACGTATAGTGAAGTTTGTGGAAGAACTTAACGTTTCAAAAGTAAACTATGTACAGTGGTCCGTCCACATACGCAAATTAATTATGCAATGCAATAATAAAAATATGTTCTTTTAAATGAAAAAATTAATTGTATGAGTTCAACAAACGTTGTTTTAAAATTTTTATTTTTTCATAACTCTTCTAATAGAATCCGTTTAACTAAATAAGAACATAATGAGAAGCGGAATTTGCACAGACTTTTGACATGTTGTGTCCCAGTTCTAAGCTATTTGTTACATCGAAGTATTTTTCAGTTTTTCTTCTTAAAGTCATAATTTACGTTATATCAAACATTCCATATACAACTCATTTTATTTATATAACAATAACCTCTTATCAGAACAAATCAGAAAACCTTTACCAAATGTTATTGACTATTTTACTTATTTTTAGGTACTTCCCGTATTAGCAATGAAATTTTTTTTATACATATTTTCTTCACCTATACGCTATTAGAAACCATTAGAAATGACTTTAAAGGCCTCCCCGATACCGTACATTCGATCGTAACGAAGCTTTCCATTTAGACACAATGAGTTATGGAAATTAAAATTTTTTCTTCCCTCCAAGTCTTACCATTAAGGAGTTTTTCGGTGATCAAGATCCAAAATGGACTCTGAAGTATTTCTTAAAATTTTTTTATATACTTACAGGTGGAGAATTCGAGTTTGTTTTTATCCAATCTACTTCAGAATGTGAGGAAATACTCTATTTTATCTGCAGCATACCCTAAAGCTCAATAAATGTTGAAAAAACCAACAGAAAATACGTTGGTTCCTAAAATGATTTTCCAAAAACCTTCTGAACTAAAAGAATACTCTTATTGATTTTACGTACAGAAGCAGAATGTGCGGATAAAATAGAGTATTTTCTCACATTCTGAAGTAGATTGGATGGATTTTGATCGATTTATGAACTTTTTAATTTTTGATGAAAATAATCAAAATGGGTTATTTCACCTAATATAGGTTAATACTTGATTCTTGTATTTTGTTCTGAAAACTAACATTGACATAGGATTCAGCATAGTCGATAACCTATGTTTTGATGCATTTCTGACAGATCCAAGCCTAACGGCAGTGCTAGGGTTTCAGACAAAAAACGTCGAAAACTCCCGATCCACAGATTTCCAAGATGTCGCTTAGATCCAGTTTCGTACAGGACACTTCGGACTGTATATCTATGAAAAAAGATCCATAGGTTTATATGTCACTTTTCAGAGAACCAAACTTCCAACGATCCTCTGGAAAACCAATTTCGAAAATTTTTCCGAAATTCGTATTTGGTAATGAAAAATAGCTTCAGGTCTTGGCCATCGAATGGTGGAAAGCGCAATGGCTTTTATTTTCTTTGAGTTATTCAAAAAATAATGACTACCGTTGCTTTTTGGAGCGGATAGTACATGGTCTGACCGGCGCCGATTTTCCAGTTAAGCGTTTGTTCGTTTTGTACACAACCAACAACCTCAAAAACTTGAAAATGGCAAGTTGCCGTACTTCAATGCTTGCCATACTTCAAATATAACTCCCATTTAGAGAAAATGTTGTCTTAAACGCCGTATAAAATGCTCAGTTTTAGGACTTGTACGAAAATGCTTGTAACTTTTTAATGCAAGATCACATAGAGTTGTGCAAGGTCTTATTTCGATTAGAAAAGTCTTCTCTACAAATTAACGCGTTCACAAAAAATTTAATTTCATAAGTATTCAGAGAAAAAAACTACTTTTTGAAGCTCCTGTTTTCCGAGGCTCCTAGAAAACTTATTCGAATGCCGCGAAAAGTCACTTCTATAACCGAAATTGATACAGATTCTGAAAGTAGACGTTTCAGACTATCGCCCCATGTGCTTATCTCAAAATCGATTTTCTTACCGAGAATCATAATTTCTGAGGGAGGGACGGGAGTGGGAACTAAAATGTTTTATTGTAAAATATTGCTATATATATATCTGTTTATTCCATCAATATCAATAACATTTGGTCGTACAAATAACAATACAAATTCAGCGCTGAGGAGAACAATGCAATAACAAATATACAATAAATAGTATCGCAAAGCCTACGAAATACCTTCTATCAGTCGTAAACAAGAAGGGGAGCTTGCTATCGATTACAATGGATGTTGCTTGAAAACATTGTCTATTTCGTTTCTCAAAGAATTTTAGTATGGACAAATGTCTAATATTTCCGAGATCATTTTATAATTAATCAGCTTGATGTGGGACAGGTTGAAAACGATTCGATTTGGCATTTGCCAAATTTACCAAAATTCGCCAATATTTGCCAAAATTCATCGGATTTAGCAAATTTTTGCTGTCAGTTTGCCAAATATTTGATAGGCGCATATTTTATAGACCTTTCGAGATAGTCAGCGATTTCTTATTCCACTGCTTTCATTTCACTCCTTCTCATTTTTCAATGATCAAACATTTAGTACGTGACTGTATAGTCAGTCACACAGTTTCTTTTTTTTCTTTTCTGTTGTCACGAATAGTTTTTGTCATTCGCCCTTGATGTTATATATATTCACAGTTATTCGAAAATCCCTGTTCGCAGCTTTGCTAATGTGTTCCATTTCCATTAAACGAAATAAAATTCTGCTGTAGAAGTCGACCAGCGGAAAAAGAAGCTTCAGTCCAATAACACCAGTGTTTACTCTCTGGCTTTTCAAATTTTTAGAAGTTTTAAAAAGTTGGTATTTTGGACAAATTTGGCAAATTTTTGACAAATCCGTTAGAAATTAGAAACTAAGATAACCATGCACATAATCTTTGATGATCAAAAATATTGGCATTCAAATTAAATTGATTTTGTTCTTAAAATTATATGATTAAATTTTTGAACTGTGGGACAGGAACTATGTATAAGTATTGTATTTCATATCGATTATAATTCACACATATTATCCTTGTTTTAATCGAACAATTAATTTATTCATTTGCGAATTATTGTGATTTATCGATACGGATAAATCATTACTTATTTGCATACTCACGTTGCAATCTCATGACTTATTTCCTTTCTTATTTCTATATATTCAACGTCATAACATATTTTTCTTTTCTTATGTTTCTTATAGTAACTATAGTCATTTATTCAGTCCTCATCTTTTGACTGAGAAAAAAAAACCGATTATATGATAAAATAGCTAAAAGAAACATGTGTACATCATTTTTATACTTACTAGTAAGTACTTACTTGTAATATAAATTTTTATAGATGTCTAAACTTCCACGTTTGTTTATTAATCAACATTTGCCAGAACATTATCTTAATATATTAAATGAAAAATTTGATTGTGATTATCACGATGGTATACAACCAATTCAATCAGATGAATTACTCAAACGTGTTGAACAATATAATCCGGATGCCATCTTGCTCGTAGGATCATTAAAAATTGATAAACAATTGTTAGATAAATGTAAATCAATCAAAGCAGTATCTACCATTTCTGTTGGTTATGATCATATTGACGTAGAGGAATGTAAAAAGCGAAATATAGCTGTTGGTTATACACCTGGCGTCCTAACGGATTCAGTGGCTGATTTGACGATTGGTCTATTACTGGCAACTGCAAGACGGTTTGAAGAAGCTATGCAAACAGTTAGAAATGGAAAGTGGGGACCGCGTGATATTTTAGCAAGTTGTGGAAAATCCGTGACAAATTCAACGATTGGAATTGTTGGTCTAGGACGTATTGGTGAGATGATTAAATTTCAATGTATTCTAGACTAAATTATTTCATTTTTTCACATTTTCAATTAGGCATGGCTGTTGCACAAAGATTAAAATCATTTGGTGTAAAGAAAATTTTTTACAGTGGTACTCATGAAAAAACATTTGATAATGAGACTGATCAAAAACTATTTTCGTATGTGGAATTCTTTTATTTATTATCACAATCGGATTTCGTTATTATTACCTGTTCATTAAATGAGAAAACAAAGAATATATTTAATAGTGATGCATTTAAACAAATGAAACCGGACTCGATTCTTATAAATACGTCTCGAGGTTCAATCATCGATCAGGATGCGCTCTACGATGCTTTGTCCAGTGGTCAAATACACGCTGCTGGCTTGGATGTGACAGTGCCTGAACCTTTACCACCAACAGATAAATTATTGACACTGAAAAATTGTTTGATATTACCACATATTGGCAGTGCTGATGTAACAACACGAAACAAAATGATACAAGTTGCCATTGATAATCTGCGCAATTATTTTGAAAATAAACCCATGGTATCTCAAATTAATGTCTAATTTGCCTTGTCAAAATGGCCGTACAATGCTTTTGATAATACCTTAACGCATGTTAGAATGCAACGAACACAGTTAAAGTTTAACACATATACAGAAGTTAGATGCTATTGGATATAGACAAACACGTTATTTTTTTTTATTTATTTAAAACTGGAAGTGTGTGAAAATTAACTTTAACGTGTTTGAACATGAATTCGTACAATAAAGTTGAGAACTATGCTCAAACTAGATAATGTTATTACAACTAATGATTACAAGATAATGATGTTACAACTCTTAAGACAAAATATAAAGGATATTCAATTTGCTTTGCGTCAGTGGGTACTCTTTAGACTGGTGAAAGCGCCAGCTGGATTTTTATAATAAAGTAATGACGTTGATTCCGGAGTGAAAAACTCATGTTGGATATTTTCTTAGCTACTGAGTAAAAAAAAGCAAATTGAGTATCCTTTATATTTTGTCTTAAGAGTTGTAACACGGTATAGTTAAGGCAACTCAGGATAACATAAAAAGAAGCTTACCTTGTGTAGAATCATAGATAAACGAGTTTGGTTTACCTAAATTAGTCGAACGACTGCCACTGAAGAGAATTTTATAACTATTAGGCCATTTTAATACAGTTTCAAAAAAATACCGCATAATTTTTGCTCGTCTAACACATTTAATATCCTCGAAAAGTGCAAGATGAGCTAAACTAAATTCTAGCAAAAAATTTAAACGCTCAATGTTGTCATAATCTTTAGATGCGGCCATGATCGTAACGAAAAAAATGTTGAAAAATGTGGTGTGTACTCAAGCTTTTCTATAGTGAAAGGTATATAAGTGTTTGTTATTTGATTATATTTGCTTTTTTGTATTCTTTTATTCCTATCTATTCAAAGAGGATGAAGGTAAAACAGAAAGGCGTGTCGCTTTTTTCATTTAGAAACATCTTATAATTCATCGCTATTTTGTATCAATAGAAAAGGAATATTTTTATTTCTGTGATGCATTCAAGCTAAGAAGAAGTTCAACTGCAGCGGAAAATCAGCTAATTAAAAATTAGCCTGAAAATAGCATGATGGTCAGAAAAACTAATTTTACACAAAAATAACCAGTATAATTCACAAATATTTGGTTAATTCTGAATCTCGGCATCATTTAGTGTATATTAGTAAAAAGACTTTCAGTTGGAGCTAAAGAATATTAAGGAAAAAAAAATTTTTTATAAATGGTTTTCCAAACGGCTAAGTTTAGTACAATGAGAGCCTCCTTCGCATCCCTCTTTGAACCTAAACCAACTTTGCCAGAATGTTCTGCTATATGAAACTTATCATCGCAGTTAGCACAAATTAGCACAAATATTTCAGAGATGAGCGGATATCCGAAATAGGAATATCGGAATTATGAATATTCGAGGTAGAAATATCCGAGACAGGATATCAGCCGACATAGCTTGGAAAATACACATTCGCCAAGGATCTGATGTTCTACAAAGTGAATTCATGGTGTAAAAGCATAAAAGCTAGATGGGCGGATATCCGAAATAGGAATATCTAGAATTGGGATATCCGAAATGAGAATATCTGTTAACAATGTATTATTGCTGTTATGACGTCTGGGCTTTTGTTATAAACGTGCATAAATATTTTATTTTTGCACTTCAGCTGTGTTTTCTATACTGGCTGTAAGGTGCACCGATTATCTATGTATTCTATGTTTGTGAGATTGTCATACCAGAAGAAAGTCCAATCCTAGTTCAGGAAAAACTGTGTCATCTGAAAAACCAAGCAAAACTATTTTGTAGATGACACTTCGGACTATCTGTCTATGTAAAATGATCAATAGATTGCTACTTTAATTTCTGGAAAATCGAGCAAGTTCAAAACTAGTTTTGCAGGCAAAAGTAGGTCTTAAAGTCTCTTTTCTAACAAATGCTATTGTTGTCAGATGTTTCTACAATGTGGATATCCAATCTCTGGTGCCCTATTTTAGAGTCCGAAATGGAGAGAGTGGACATATCATAATCTCTCCATCACAGGCTTTAAGGCGAGTCTTCGGAGATCTGATGTCGGTATTAATAAAATAGAACCAATAAACGTGTTAAATGTTTCATATTTCATGGTTCTAATAAACTAACTACTTCGTGCTCGTCAGAGTTAAAGCAGTCTGAGTACTTCTTGATAGAGAGAAATGTTAGCACGCGTATAAAATCTGAACTTATTACAACAACGGAATATTAATATCTTACAAGTATGAAGCTTTTGTGATTATCTAGTTTGAGCATATTTCTCAACTTTATTGTACGAATTCATGTTCAAACACGTTAAAGTTAATTTTCACACACTTCCAGTTTTAAATAAATAAAAAAAAATAACGTGTTTGTCTATATCCAATAGCATCTAACTTCTGTATATGTGTTAAACTTTAACTGTGTTCGTTGCATTCTAACATGCGTTAAGGTATTATCAAAAGCATTGTACGGCCATTTTGACAAGGCAAATTAGACATTAATTTGAGATACCATGGGTTTATTTTCAAAATAATTGCGCAGATTATCAATGGCAACTTGTATCATTTTGTTTCGTGTTGTTACATCAGCACTGCCAATATGTGGTAATATCAAACAATTTTTCTGAGAGGAGAGGTCTCATTTTAATCAGAAATCTCCGGGCTACAATCCTGCCTCATTAGCAAAGGTTTTGGTTATATTTTAGGAGTTTTGAATTCATTAGTCACTATTTGTACGTACGTCTGTCACATTGATTAGTCAGTATTTCTATGTACGTCCGTCACAGTAAGTAGTCACTGTTTGTATGTAAGTAAGATTTTTACAAGATGGTTAGAAGCTCTTTGCGCGAGTATGAAGCTTTTCTCTTAGTGTAACGTTATCCCTAACCTTTCGTTTTCTTACTTATCATGATCTTACCATGACTGAGTTGACTGCTTATCGAAAGGTGTGCGTTCGAGGTCCATCCTAGATCAGTCATCACTGTTGAATCATTTCCCGTGCGAGACAAACTAATCTTCGTACGGGTCCGCCTTGGATAAAAGAAGAACAGATAATGAATTAAAAATTGTATTGATGCAAGCAAACTATCATTTATAATAAAAATATTTGAAGACAACAACATTCGAAGAGAATATTATTTTCTATTGAATTTCTCGATCATCTTTGTCATCAGAAGTAGAAGAGCGATAATTAAGATAAAGGAATATTAATTTGATTGTCATAAAAGAATCGAATGTGATCTTCATTCTTCAATAAGCGACGAGGTTTGATTTGAATGAGACTCACTCGTTCAGTCAACAATTGCTCATGCCAAAAAGTGGAGAATGTTCCACTTCGAACAATAACGCATCGAAGAAAACCAAGGTAATCGGTATCTCGAATACGGTCATAACGTAGTATATTTGCAAAGTTGTTGTTCGGCTGCAGCATTGGCAGTATTCTGAAGATTTCGAAGTTGCTGATCACTAATCTTGTACCTTTGTTCGTCGGTCAATTCCAAAAAGATGATGCACTGAGGAGGAAATGCATCTAACTTCAGATAACATGTGAAATCACAGATGTCAACAAGCATGCCTTGTTCTTTCCAATCATCAACTATTTGTTTGAGAACATCAGTCAGATATTGTTCACTCGTTTTCTCTCCGAATACATCCAAAAGATTCCCAACACGATATCCAATCCAAATCAGAGGAATCCGAGGAATTTCTACTGGTTCTGCAGGTAATGGAACCAGATCTTCTGCTCGAGAAAGAAATCTGATGCAATTGATTATATCTCCCATTCGATATCTGACCAATCCAGCTTCGGTTGTACAAACCAATTCATATCGATTTCCAGATTCGATCTCTGATATAAGAAGAGTCTTTGGTTGAGCTTGAACAAAAAAAACTGTTCAGTCATAGGTTAGACTCTACTGACCGTTTCGGATCCAGTAGGGTCGCTAAATACTTGTTGGCCTTAGGCTCTGGTCACGGTCGCTGTTCGGCTCATCATAGAATCAAACCAGCATATCTGATGCACATCTTGTTTGATGAATTCGAAAAATGCAGTTATTCGTACCCATACCCGTACCCAACCCTTGGGTTCTACATCTCTAATCTGGAAAAACAAGAATAATGATCGAATTGTTAACAGTAAACAGGTTTGTTCAAAAAAACACAATAAAGAATTATTAACAATGCTTATAATTCAAGTACGTATAGTGAAGTTTGTGGAAGAACTTAACGTTTCAAAAGTAAACTATGTAAAGGCATTGTACAGCCATTTTGACAAGGCAAATTAGACATTAATTTGAGATACCATGGGTTTATTTTCAAAATAATTGCGCAGATTATCAATGGCAACTTGTATCATTTTGTTTCGTGTTGTTACATCAGCACTGCCAATATGTGGTAATATCAAACAATTTTTCAGTGTCAATAATTTATCTGTTGGTGGTAAAGGTTCAGGCACTGTCACATCCAAGCCAGCAGCGTGAATTTGCCCATTGGACAAAGCATCGTAGAGCGCATCCTGATCGATGATTGAACCTCGAGACGTATTGTCACGGTCGCTGTTCGGCTCATCATAGAATCAAACCAGCATATCTGATGCACATCTTGTTTGATGAATTCGAAAAATGCAGTTATTGGTGATGGAAAGTACTCATCTGTGCAAATACTTGCGAGAGTTCTAAGATATCCTTCACTTACACTGTAGACAGTAAAGTAAAGTTAATAAGAGGCACTTTTTCTCCACAATAAAATTGGAGCGTTTGTTTGTACATGGAGAAAGAACCTCCTGTTGTGGTCGACGTATAAACCAGTGTTGACTAAAGACGATGAAGAAGTCCAGGAACATCTTTTTCGAGACTTGCTTTTCGAACCTGTTCAGCTCGCTCTAATCGATATGCCACTCCTCCGTTCTCGATAATTGTTTCGTTCAACGTTCAATTCAAGGCAACTATGAATTTCGTATCACGAATTTTGTCTCGAACTAGAGTGCTCTGATCGAAACTAGCAGAAGTAATGCAAATACTCTCTCTTCAAAGTGGTTCTCGATGACCTTGATTGTATGAATGAATTCTTGAGCGAAAGGAACTACATAGGCAAAAATATTGGGAATCGCCATTAAAAAACGAGTTGAACGAATGCATTTGTATGAAAATCAGAAATTTCTTCAGTCAAATCGATCGGTAGGACATTGTAATTAGACGCCAATAGTCTCATTCCAGGAATCGGTGAAATAACTGAAAGAAATTGTGTAAGAGGACCCATGGGAGTACCGTTTTTCGATCCTGGAAATTTCTCGGCTTTTCTTCCAGTCATAAAATAGAACGGTCGTTGTTCTGGAGAAGGAAATGATGCCGAAAGAAGAGATCCCAAATAGCAGATGGTGCAGAACGTGCCAACGCAGTAAGTTGTATGAACATTTTTCTAGTCATGGGAATGGCTTTTGGTTTTCCTGTTGTTCCAGAACTTAAAATAAAATATATAATGTTGCCCGAAATGAGCTGCTTCTTCTTTCCGCCGAAAACCATCCGATCGATATAATCACGATAGTCGTTGTATCTAGTCAACGGAACTTTCATTCGAAACTCATCGATCGATGCATATCCTTCTTCTGTAGTAGGGACCGAAGAAGCGCGATGCATATCCTAAATCATTGGTCTCTAGCTTTTGTTGTCTTTGGGTTAATGATCATGCGCTAATTAGCGTGTCTGGTGTACAAGGAGTTAAAGGATCTTTTATCTTATTTGAATGTAACAAATATGATAGTACGTAAATAACATGATTTTATAGATTTCAAGGGATCGTCTTGCCAATGCCTTATTCAGAAACAGCACAGAAATGTTTTCTTGCCTGGCTTTGAGAGATCCCGGGCCTCTGGAAGACTTTTTCGGTTGTTTTTGTCATCTTTGGCAGACATTACAAAATGCAGACGACCAGTTAACTGGAATTTTTATCATTGATTTCTAAACACAAAGTAGTTCTAAGGTTGATTTTACAAGCTTTCTAGAGCTGTTCTAGAAAACTCACGGAGACATAATATTATATAAACTACCAAGACCTTTTTAGCCAAAATCGTGGTTGTTCACTTTTTGACTTAGGATCGAAAATGCCATTTTCTCTGTTTTCCAGCTAAAGGATTAGAATTTATCTTAAAAATGTATTGAAACATAGATTTTAACATGTGCTTTATCAACTGCCATCCTTAAAAAGTGGTTTTAGACAATTTCTAAGCTTGGAACCTAAGTTTTCTGGAAATCCTTTACTGAGCTGGTTTTCAGAAAACTGAGCCGGCCATTCGATTTAGGGTGTCAAAATAGGTATAATCTGAGGCTTTATGTACTAGTCAAAACAATTCAAGAGATATGTTTGGGGGTCGGACATTTTGATGTATTTTTCAAATTTTTTTCTTTAGAAATAAGCTGAAGCCTTGCTATTTACAGCATAAATTGTGCTACCCATTTGACATATATGGTAAAAGAACGAGTTCTCAATTCCATGTAGTTCGGTCAGGGGAGAGTCAGAAGGGGGTGGGACAAATTGTATGTCACAAGTCACTGGACGTCAGTAAAATGTCAATTACTCAAAAACGAAAAAAGCTGGCAACTTGCGGTTTTCAACAATCTATAGTGCCTACTTTGGTGAATGTTTTCGTAGAAAAATATTTGACTTAAAGTGCTTATTGGCTGACTGAAAAAGATTAGGCAGAACTTAGACTGCAGATTGATAGACCCAAATATTAAAATCAGTGATATATTTATTTATTAAAAGCTAATACAGTATATGATGTGACATTAAAATAGTGGTACGTGTACGCGAATCAGTTCTTGGTTAATAAGTCAGTTTTTCAATTAACGCATTGCTTCAACAGCTTTGTTTTGATCTTTGATCTTTTGAAGTTGTTGTTGTAACAGTGTTCGGAGATCAGGGGTCAAAGCTTTTCTATCCAACACTTCTTGATACTTTTCAATTGTGTATGATTCACCACGATGGACTTCTTTGATAATTGTCGAGTTATCCTTGCCACCAGTAAACAGTGCTTTGAAATCAATCAGACCACGATGAAGTTTGGCTGCCGTTGAACCTGATTTTGTTGGCTCGCCTGTGAAGAGAGAGAAAGAAAAACGTTAACTTGTGTGGTGTGAGTAGAGAAACTTGACAACACAACACCGCAACATGAAGAGAAGGAAAGCAGTGAGTACCGAGACTTTGTTGTGGACGTAGAATTAACCGTAGCCTGCGCTAATTCAAAAGCAATCCCTGGAAAATTTAGCAGTGCAAATTTAAGAAAACCAGATCAGACCAGGAAAATGATAAACGCTATTTTACTTTTTACCTTGTCCCAACTGTTGTATAGATCTTGTTAATTCCGAAATCATTTCATGTCTGGTTGAAGCAATTTGAGCAAACAATGATTTCAACGTTGTATCTTTTATATCGTCAGCGCAGTTGTGAAAACCGTTGTACGAGTCGTACAAATATTCCAGCAAATCATTTGCCGCTTTGTATGTATCATGCAAATCTGTTGCTTCATGCTGAACAGGTGTTGAGGCAGCTAATACAGCAGCTGTTGTGTTCGTGGATGAAGTCATTTCTAAGATAAAAGAGAGAAAACATGTAGTTATAATATTATTCAGCACTTGAGAAATCGTACGAATTAAAAAAAATGCGTTTGAAAGTGCTCTTGGAAATGTTTTCTTTCGAAGAATTGCCGAATTCTCGGTGATACAGAGTCCTAATATACGACAGATCATTTTAGAGGTATGCTATTGTTATTAAGACTTTTACAAGCATAGTCATGTGTTTTTTTTCAGAATATTTCTGAAAACCAACAACAGCAGTAACTTGAATTTATGCATTATCTGCCGACGTGGGAAAACCTGTAGAACTACTTACTTTGGTAAGATTTAGTAGAATTTTAATGAGAAAATGATGTGTTTGTGCGTGCGTGCACTGTCGACTGTTAGTTTACTAGAATGATAGAGAAACAATATAAAAGTAAAGTAACGGTAGCAATGGAAGAAAAAGAAAATAAGAGAGAAATGTGTTGCTTTCCTGTTCTGTTAGAGAAAAAGCATGAATGCGCTTTTTCTCATTTTCGAGAAATGTAAAAAAATAAGAAGTGCATAAAGTTTGTATATTTTTAACTTTCTGTGTATTGTTAAGTCCTTACACCGTTGCAAAAATAAATCGAAGAGAATTTTTACGTACACCGAATTTTCAACTTAAACAAAGAGATCGAAATTGAAAATCAAAAGAGAGTAGAGTATCAATCAGTACATATTAGACGTATAGTTAAATCATACATAGCACAATATTATTCTATTATGCATACTGGTAGTACAGAAATCACATGCAAAACATATCTACCATACAACAAACTTCAGAACACGCATTTAACACATTTATTGGTTGATTCTATCCAGGTGTTCGGTACCGATCCATGCCTGTCTCTTTGCTTTTTGACCCTCTAGAAAGAAAAATAATTGCCCACCCGCAATAGTTTTGCGGGATGGTATTGGTTCCAGTATCTTGCAATTTTATTTTAAAATACCAAATGTAGAGTTTTCGACTTTCCAAGTCATTTTCAATACAAGAATATACAGAAGATTTGAAAAAGAAACAACTATATGCACATATACGAGATTCTTTCTTTTCTTCTTTTGACGTCACCTGTCAAATATGGATGATGAAAGAATAGCTCACGTGCACATATGTTGAACTCCCGTGAACTTATTGAAGACACGTGACCTTTGACGTAGGTGCAAGATAATCAAAGAATCAAATGTTAAATTTTAACTCTTCTTTCCCTAGTTTGTTTAACTCGACAAACCTTCTGAATAATTATATAATGGTACAAGTGAATAATTTCATTGAACTGCGGCATGTTAGATCGAATTGTCAGTGATTCGTTTTCACGAACAATCGATTATGTCAATCATCTCTGGCTATAACCTTAATATTGTTGAAATCAATTGTATGCCATGTGTATATGTTTTCCATATATGTTTTCCTAGAGTAGGTGTGGACCACTATTCTTGTGGCGGTTGTGTACGAGCTTGAGTACTAGTAGATGCCAGTCGCTCATCTGTGCAAGAGCTTTATCTCATTTTTGTTGGTGCAGGGTTTTGGTTACGTTACCACTGAGACTTTTATTTTTCGTTGTTACCGGAACCCGTAATCCATCACTCAAACGAATGTTAAAAGTGTCTTTGACTTTCTCAAAATACGATGATATAGTTTTCAGATTAGTCTGTCAGTTCGATAAACTATAGAATGCACCCTCAATTGAAAATCTTGTTAATTTAAAATCATATGGTAACACAATAATTAAAATAACGTCATGCTAATGAATTAAAAGATATTTTTATTATACAGTTTTGAAATCACTCAGCTTGAATTTTAAAATGCGCATGCATCGTTTCTGAAAGTGAAAAATTTATTAGTGATTATCTGTGTAATAAGAAAATGTATTTTATCTAAAAGTCAGAGGATATAGTACAACACTAAGTATTTGTCTGAGAAGTACGTCACAGTGATTGTCACTCGATGCATCTATCCCTTCTCTCTAGACTCAAGTCGAATGAACAAGGAAGAACATCGAAGTAGCAGAGAATTATCTGGTTGACTGTCATCTTTCTTCCTCACTAACGTTGATTGTCGTTATTTTTTATTTAACTATATGTTTGTTTCAGACTATGAAAGATGCTGCAAGGTTTAGATAGAAGATGCTTCTGTTTTTTCCGCCAGTGTCCAGGTCTTTCATCCCAGGCGATATACCAGCGTTTACGTTGAAATATATCACACCACGGAGGTCGTATATGTGTATGGGTGCGATGATGTGTAAACATTGAAATACGATGAACTTACGACAGTCGTACACAATCATTTGTGATAAGTAAAACTTTTTGGAAAAAGTATAGAACAAGACAATGTGTTCGGCTGTAAACGATCGTATTTTCTCTGCTAAACAAGCATCGCGAATTTAGCGAAGTTTATATCGACGCCAACTTCTTCCAATCAAGGATTACGTTACCGACCTAATCTCGCAGAGATCTGTCAATACGTTACTAATACCGAAAACGACAATGTCTTGAGAGATACAAACTTGACTTAATTTAAAACGTTGTGCGTTGTATAATAGGAGAAAAATGTTTTGATAGTACAGACAAAAATCTCGATGTCAAAGCTGATCGAGGCTGCATACGTTTGAGGACAAGTTAATCAGAGATGATTACAGAAAACTAAGAAGAACTACATACATAAAAAGTGATGTCTGGTGACGTGAACTAAGGAGTTTTGTATTTGTGTTCATCAGAATAAGCAAGCCTCGGGGTAAGAAAGAAACAGGTTTATGCCGGGTTTTATCGCTTGAAAGGTGCGACGAAAATAATCGAAGCAGTTTTTATGTGTGATTAGAAAATTCGAAGATAGAGAAAGAATATGTCGATATCAGGTTTTTAACAGTCGCTTTTGATGGTTATCTAAATTCGAATTTTCCACTTGGTTATACACGTAGAAAAATTTGAACATAATAAATTGCTTTTTGCGTAATTAACCGCTTAAAATAGCTCTATATTCTCCTTTAATAAATACCTTATAACACTATAATTCTATATGATTAAGCAAATGAGATGGTTTTGGGACGCAAGGGACCGCTTGGGATAATATAGTAAGTTCCTTTTCTTCTGTTTTAAAGAGATATTAACGACTTCGCAGTATTAAACAATGGTGCAGGAGAGACGAAATGTGAGACAACCCATTGGAACTTTTGGAAATAATTAGAAATTAATGCGAACTAATTTAAAAAAGTCTCATATTAAATTAAGTTGAATTGATTTTTAATCAGAAAAAAATTAATGCGCACCACTTTAATATGAGACTTTTTTTAAATCAGTTCGGATTAATTTCTAATTATTTCTAAAAGTTCCAATGGGAAAAGCCAGGCCTCCACATTCGCTTTTGATTACAAAAGCGGTTTTTGGCGGATTTTGAGCAAGTTTTATAGGAGTTCCGAAAAACAGGGTCTTCAAAATAATAGGTTTTTCTGGTATGCAGTAAAAAAATTTCTGAACACTGATATTTGTAGAGCAACCTTTTCTGGTCAAAATAAGACCTCGCACAACTCTGTATGACCTTGTATCAAAATGTTACAGGCATTTTCCTAGAAGTCCCAAAATTCAGTATTTCCTACAGCGTTTATGGGTTCCCCAATTTAGATTTTTCTTTAACATTCCCAGTTTGGAGAGGACACTTCGAGTTATATGTCCTGAAATGTTTTTGGCTTACTGACATTATGTGACTGAGAAAAAAATTAATTACTTTAAAAAATATTGTCAAGTTTTTGAACAAGGGACTATTATTAAAAGAATTCCTGTCCATTTTCTATTCATCTTCTTGTCTAGATCGATAGAGAAATGTGCAGAGAATATTTCTTCCGAGAAAGTATGCAAGAATTTTTTTTCTTTCTTTTCTGGTATTGTCTAATTAGTATGAATTAACTTTAATTTAGCCTACTCTACTAGCATAAAGTCTTATTTGTGGAATAGCAATGCAACGAATAAATTCAAGCAATACCTCATCTGACATAGTTTCGCCGGAACCAAGCATTTTGTAGTAAAACTCTGAGTGCAAAAGTTGTTCAGGATCGAATTTTGAAGTCCCTAACCACAGCTTTTTTTTAAATTTTCTGTTTTTGACTTCAAAATTAAATTTTACAGTTTTTAAAACTTTAAAGTTTCGTATTTTTCAATTTAAAAATCAAAAACAGAAAATTTTAAAAAAAGCTGTGGTTAGGGACTCCAAAATTCGATTCTGAACAACTTTTGCACTCAGAGTTTTGCTCCAGAATGCTTGCTTCGAGCGAAACTAGCCGTAAGGTGAGGCGAAAAATACTTTTAGCTCTGAAGTTTCTTCGGGAAGGCGAACATTAAATTTCTGCAGCAAACTTTATTCTGGAACGATGTAAAGGGTTTTCCTTATACAAATTAATGTTCTCTATCGAACTACGCTAGAGTCAACTCCTCATATCAAAAAATGAAGCTTTTATTGAAATTTAAAAATAGGCCAAAAAAATCGGAAAAACCTGAAAATGTTTTTTATCAAAAACTATAAATGCGGGAACCGAAAGCTTTGTTGGGACATATACTCCGAAGTGTCCTCTACAAACTGGTGGAAAAAGACGGATTGGGGGACCTCCTTTTAATACAACGTTTTCTCTATATAACAGTTAGACCTGAAGTGCTTCCCAGGATTTTTAATAGCCGTTTGTCGTAGACACTTTATTTTTTTTTTGTTTAAAAGAAGAAAAGAAACTATATGGACTAACCGGCGCCAATTTTTGAATTAGATCTTAGTTTTTTGTCAAGTTAAGGATTTTTCAGGTTTTGGAGGTTGTTAGTTGCCTGGAAAACCAATAAAGGCTTAATTGAAACATCGGCGCCGGTCAGTCCATGGAGTTAGATATGTAGTTTAAAATAAAACACGTCCGGACTCTCCAGCTTGAAGTATATTAAAAATTTTTGGGAAGTACTTCAGGGTCCTTTTTGAACCTTGATCTCTGAAAAGCTCCCAAATCGTAAGACTTGGAGAC